ACACTCGATCGTATAGCGAGCTCTACATCGAATTTTATAGATATATGTATTGTAGACACGAGGTTTGCATTAATTAAATCAGTTAATAATTTCATAACTCCGTTGAGATTATCGGCCAGCAGATTGATTCTTGTAAACGAGGGCAAGATCGACGAGTCGGATGGGATGTGTGAAATGGAGTCTCGGTCGGCAGTTTCGCTCAGGCAAGGCAGCGGCTAATGTTGTTGTTGGCTAATGTTGTTGTTTATGCGCCGAGCGGCGGTTGTTTGTGCACGCATTTGGCACACGACCGAGAAGCAACTCGGCCCTCCCCGGAGGAGGGGTTCGACACAATAGAGAGATACTCCTGTCTCGGGAAATAGAGAGCGATCGTGGGTGTTGGATCCGTGTAAGGATGGACCGATCAATTACCCACATAACCGACGGTGTACATGGGGATATTCTAAATCGGGGCATCTGCTGGACAGTTTCGGACGTGCACGAGGGCTGCAGGGATGGTTCCTTGTTTGGACAGGGGTTTGTGGATGCTAAATTTAAGCGTGTATATATATAAGACAGTTCGAGCGAGCATAGTCAGTGTGTCTAACATTGTCTGTGCCTGCAGTGTGCAACGATATTCAGTCCGTGAGTATGTGAGTTCTTTCTTTAACTAATGGCTTAAGGTTCATGCCACTATAGATCTATGCCACTATAGACCTATATCTATCTGGTTTCTTATTTGTTCTATCGTAGTGAGCTATCTTCTAGTATGTGCAATAACCTTTCTATATTTCTAAACGTAGTTTCTTATAGCTGTGTAAATTGTACTCGCACTGTGTAAATCGTCAGCACCTCTCCGTGTACTATCGTACGTGTATTTCTATTTAAAACTACAGGAGCTTTCCTGAATAAATCTTATTCTTGTGGCACTGTCACACTTTCTTGTGCTTTGTGAATATCAAGTGTTAACATTTCTATACACTTCTTGTAAGACGGAGAGACCCGTGTCTACAATATATTATATGTATAGAACACCCACCTCGATAGGACGGCCACCTCTAGAAAGCGGTAATCTCTATAGAATGGAGATCGATACAAAAATGTGCACATCTATTAAACGGGCGCCTTTATAGAAGGGCCTCCTGTGTGCGCAACAAAGGCCACGTTTAATTCGCTCGTTTCCCACGAGGGAGACATTGCATTGTTGCCGATGTGACCATGTCTGCGTTCGATGTTGGTTGCAGGGGCTGCTGGCAGGACGTGCTGATGCGGGATCAGCTTTCCCGGTGAAGATGAAGCCACGCTACACGATACAATCTTTACACCTCATCCAGCTGCACCTAGCACAATACTCGTCGTCCATACAGGTACGGTAATTACCAACCTATACAGGTGTAGCAATTACTATTCTATACAGGTAGGGTAAATACTCTTCTATACAGGTAGGGTAAGTACTCTTCTATACAGGTAGGGTAAGTACTCTTCTATACAGGTAGGGTAAATACTCTTCTATACAGGTAGGGTAAATACTCCTTTATACAGGTAACGTATACACTCCTCTATACAAGTAAGGTAAATACTCCTCTATACAGGTAAGGTATCTCTATACAAGTAGGGTATATACTCCTCTATACAGATAGGGTAAATTCTCCTCTTTTATACAGATATCGTAAGTTCTGGTGCGCGTGACTCCACGACTCAATAAGTGAACTAAATAATTAAAAATAAATTTTCTCCCCATTCATTCCATCACATCTCTTTCTTAATACATATATATGTGTGTGCATGCACGCGTGCGTGCGTGCGTGCGGTCGTGCGTGCGTGCGTCTAATACAAACACTATGTAGAGGAGGTGCAAATTGATCATTACATTATTGCTTATTTAGTTTACGTTAATTTTTCATCATAATATCATATTATTACTCATTTAATTTACATTACATTATTGCTTATTTAATTTACATGACATTACATTAATTTCTCATTACATTATTGCCTATTTAATTTGCTTTACATTCGTTGCAGGCAGACGAGGTGATGCTAGATGCAGATCCCAGCTACCACAGCAAGATGGCGCTCCAGCTGAAACTCGAGGACAAGCGAACGCTGCTGCGATGCAAGAACGCTCTGTTGCGGCCACCTAGCTGATGTCGCCCTCTCCGTCGCTAAAGCTCATTAGCAGCTGGGCTCGTTAGTAACGGATGCTTGGCTCGTTAGCAGTGGATGCTGCACTCATTAGTAATGGATTGTAGGCTCATTTGCAGTGGATGCTGGACTTGTTAGCAGTGGATGCTGGACTCATAGTAATGGATGCTTGGCTCCTTAGCAGTGGATGTTGGACTTGTTAGTATTGGATACTGGGCTCGTTACTAATGGATACTAGGCTTGTTAGCAGTGGATGCTGGACTCGTTAGTAATGGATGCTAGCCTCGTTAGCAACGATAGCTAGACTCGTTAACAGCGATTGCTAGGTTTATTGGCTCTCACTATGTAGCCCTTCACTCAAACCCAGGCAATTGGAGTAAAGGGTTTCACAATTAGAGCTAGGACAGCATAACATGCTAATTAGTTCACCACTAATGCATAAATCTTTGCTAGCACTGTGTGCCTTAAATTTGCTAGTGTTGCCAGCTGAGGCGAGCGGTATGTTAGGCTGTCGATAAGGCACCTGGGGTCCATTGTTAGAATGAAAACTAGTCTTTAAACGAGTCTTAACATTAACTTTTTATCCTAGATTGCTGACAGAATTTTGTTTTGTGAAATTCTGAGGAAAATTGGTAGAATATTTTATTCATGTAACTAACTTTCAGCAGTCTAAGAGAGAAAGGTTGATGTTAAGACTAACGTGTCTAAAAGTAATTTTAAGATGGAATTCTCGCCAGGGAAAAGACGAGGAACAAGTCTGCTGCGTGCTCCGATTGGTGGAAAACCTGATCAAATTATCTTGGAGATGCATTGCTCCCAGATGCTTGCCGAAGCTTTCATCCAGGACTTCACTTATAAGGCTCTTTCACTGACTGCTTAAATGCTCAAAAAGCTTTTACCGTCATACTGTGAAATCTTATTTTGGGTGTAGTTTATTTGTACTCCTTAAATCAAAGTTTTCACTCCTATACCTTCCTTATATTTTTACTCCCTGTGAACGGATACATCAAATATGTAGTCCAACACAGAAACACATGGTTCTGTACTCATGCACTTGGTATACATTAATTAGCAAGGCCACCAATAAGTTTGGTTGATGATGGTGATGATAATGATGGCGGTGATGATGATTGTAATTATTATTATTATTATTGTTGTTATTATCATATACAGTGTGTGAATCATGGATCATATAGTCTTCCCAGCTTTGCTAGAAACTGTTAACAATACTGACGTGAGTGTGAGACATCAGTTGTTACTGTTATCGATATTGTTGTTGTAAAGTAGATGTGAATATACTTGCAAGTATGCTAACCAGACCGGCTTGCTCGTTTGTAATTTTATTTTTATTTTTTAGAGTTTATTGTCAGAATTTCTGAGAGGTTTATTACTACAACATGCCACACACACACACACCCACACACGGCGCTACTTTCGATCGATCACTGTAGTCGTGTGTGCGTGACGTCATGCCCGCGCGCATTGTGCTTGGCTCGGAGGCAGGCAGCAGCTCATCCCGGCATGCAATGCGCCCCATTACTCGTGTATAAACAGACATCGCGTCCTATTTACATTTTCACGGAGAGAACATTTCCTGCAGGATTTCACGAGACATCTCTGGCGGGAGTAGGTAAGAACAAAGGCCAGAGTTATAATTCGAACAAGTGTAAAAACGTCAGGTAATTGTGTGAAGCCAAGTAAGGTAGGTAAACCGTAAAGTATATATGTGTAATTACTGTAATAATAATAATGCTAATTATAATAATAAGTGGTTTGTGGATCATGATTACAATATTAATTCATAATTAGTAAACCGTAGGGTAAATATGTGTTACAATAATAATAATAATAATTATAATAATAAGTGATTCGTGGATGATGATTAAAATATTAATTCATAATTCATAATCGATAAAAGATTAACTCATAACCGATGATTGTTAAAAGATTCTTGATTGGTCAGCTGCTAGGATGCTCCCGATTGGTCGGCTGCTAGGAGGCACCTGATTGGACGGGTGCTACGAGGCCCCTGATTGGTCGGCTGCTACGAGGCTCCTGATCGGTCAGCTGCTACGAGGCTCCTGATTGGTCGGATGCTACAAGGCCCCTGATTGGTCAGATGCTACGAGGTCCTTGATTGGTCGGCTGACTAGGAGGCCCTGATTGGTCGCAACCGTAACGAAGCTCCTGATTGGTCGGATTCTAGGTCCCTGTGATTGAGGTCGGATTGCATATGGACGGCCCCTGATTGTATGCGTGTTGCTACAGAGCCCCTGATTGGTTGCTGCTACGAGAGCCCAGTCGATTGTCGGTCTGCTACGCAGGCCCCTGATTGGTCGGCTCTGCCTACACGGCCCTGCATTGGTCGGGCTAGCTATGAGGCCCCTGATTGTCATCTGGCTACAAGCTCCTGATTTATCGGTGCTGCTACGGGGCGAGCTTCTGATCCTGGTCGGTCATAATGCTACATAGGCCCTTGATTGGGTCGGCGTGCTAGGGGTCCCTGATGTGGTCGCTTGCTACAGGGCACTCGACTTGTCGGCCGGACCTATGCTCACCCAACGGCCTCCCTGATCTGGGTCTTCCGTCCTCTCAGGCCGGGGCAGGTTAGCGCTGAACTTGTTCTGGTCTCTGCGCATGAAGTGGGCAGGCTCTGCGTTTATCTACTGGGCTGCGCGTCGGCACATGCTACAAGGCCCTGATTGACGGAGTTGCTATGGCAGGCTCCTGATTGGACGGCTTCTACGCAGCACCTTAAGTGGTTGGCCGCGCTACGAGCTCCTGCATTGGAAAAGCGGCGACACTTCAATGTTCGTCAATTGACATCATGTCTAAATGGCAAGTAACTATTATAAATGTACTCAAGAGCATATCCAGTACATCGTCTTACCATACATGTAGTTACCGGGACGCATGGTTTTCCATGTATTTTTAACATTTGAACAAAATAGGCCTACATCAAAAACGGAAGAAAACATTTCATCATATACAAAAAAAATCTATTTAATATAAATAAACATATAGAATATCAAGGAAATCTAAGTAATAAAGTATCCCCTCCCCCCAAAGATCTGGTAATCCCAATTTTTGATAGTAATATAACAATTGTTGGTCCTCAACTCTCAATATCGCCGCATTTATTATTACATACGCCTCCACAGCTAGTACACTGCAGATCAGCGAATTGTCTAGGGACGCATTGTCTGGTTGCTTGATACAATTATACACATCACATTTATGCTGGCCTTGCAAATAATTGCGCCTGCATGTCTTACAGCTCCCAGTTATGGTGACGTTGTCGTTTGGAATATTTCTCAATATGTTTGTTTCTATTTAATGAAAGAGGTAATGTTGTCCTTTTCATGCCAGTACAATAAAAGGATAAAAAAATCACTTGAAAGTGTGCTAAATTGCATGATTTGCACACCCAATTCACATTATCCATTAATTTTTTTCGTCCGGTTGTATAAAACCCGCCGCCTACTACCACTGATCTCTATAATAATATCATATTATTATAGAGATATTATTATATTATATTATATAGTAATATATAGTTATATTATATTTATATTTATATCATATATTATAGAGATATTATTATAGAGATAAGTGCCTTGCAGACCTATCGAGAAAGAATTAGCTGATAGGTAATATATAGTTATATTATATATATTGAATACATATAATTATAAGAGATATTATTCATACGAGACAGTGCCTATACTCAACCCAGTCATCGTGGTTTACCAGTGATAGAGTTTAGTACAACCCCGTCAAATTGCCGTCAGGTGTTTCTGCACCGTTATAGGTTATATTCAAATAGGCAGTACACATGGAAACCGGCTGCGCCGCACGTACAGCTTTACCAACGCACAACGAAAACCGATAAAACCGACTTTGCCAAACGTAACTGGAATCACGGCGTAGCTTGCCGCAACGACCAATCAGAAGAGATGACAAACAACCAATCAGTGTTCAGTGAGTTTTAGTAAACAAACGTGGCAATTTTACGGGCAGTTTTATAAATTATCAGTTTTTCTGGCACTTTTCTGTATAGTGTATATATATTATAATTTACAAGTATATAGGCTATATCAAGATTACATAATATAGAGATATATCAAGAGTATATAATAGAGATCACTATTACCAATTAATATTACTGATATTAGTCATATAGACAATGTAGTCATACAGGACATTGATGATTATGAATATACAGAATAGACGGAGGCTGTTCAAGGAGACACGAACGCTCGTCTCGCGCGTGCTCGCTAAGCGCTCGGCCTTACTGAACCGACAACTCGCGCGAAGCGAGCCGCGACGAGCGTTTGCGGCGCAAGTTTTGATAAGAGCTGTTCGCTCCAGGCGACGACGCTTGTCTTACATCACGCCAAGATTGCGACGGAAAATTCTGCGAAATGCGAATGCTACCACATCCTCGGCAACCCGAGTGCATCTTGCAATCTATTCCTCGAACTATTATCTGTCAGCTTTTCATTCCATTCATCTCTAACTCTCTAAAATTCAATCGTATCAATTCGACTGCGCTATCTCCCGTTTCAACAGTACTCTGTTCTCATCGCAATCTTAAAATCTGCTGAAGTAAGCCGCTTCATGGGCGCGCCATCTTTGATCAAGCTAGCGCACAAGCGAGCGGGCACAAGCGACCGCGCTCGTGTACGTTCAGCGAGGCGCTGCGTCGTTTCACAGCGAGTCTCGCATCGACGCTCGCTCCTCCTGAACAAGCCACCTCCCTGCAGCTGATACTCGACGCAATAGAGTCTCAAATACCGTCTATGTCCCCCGAGGGTACTGCGAAAGGTACCCTGGTAATCTATCTATGAGAGTAGTAATATGCCGAGACCGCCGTACCTCGCCTACGACTCGCACTAACAGAGTCTAGGAGTCGCCTACTCACTAACCCTAACCCGAACCTTAACCCTAACCCTAACCATATCATTATCAGCTAGATATTTCCAAGGGTACGTTCCGGTATACCGGACCGTACCCAGGGTACGTTCCGGCAGTACCCTGGGGGACATAGACCATATGTCATATGAGCCATATGCCCCCCCCCGTCATTTGCAAGAAATTGATAGGGGGCAACCCCCCTATGACCTCCCCTATCATTTGCAAGATGTTTCTTCTTCTTCTTTTCCTTTTTCTTTTTCTTTTCCTTTTTCTTTTGCTTTTTCTTTTCTTTTTCTTTTTCTTCTTCTATCCTTTTTCTTGCAAATGATAGGGGGGCGACTGATTTCTGTGTATCATCAACTGATACCAAGTAAAACTCGCATATCATCTATGATCTAACTAAGGAAGGAAGAATTAATAACTCGCGATCGACAATTAGCATAAGTCTTCATGGAATTAAGTCAAGCTCCCGTCCATTGACTCAAAGTCCCGATTTTCTCTCATAGTAAATCCATTGGTATATCCGAATAGCCCTGCCTAAATCGTCATTTATAAGTCCTCATTATGTGCAAGCTGTCGCCCTCCAGCTCAGACAGCTAGGGCCCATGTAATACAAACAAATTAACAGTAATTAATTCCCCATCTGTAAGTCGTCATCAGAAATACTGATGGCGCAGTGTACGGTCTAGACTAGGGGATGTGCGAGCTGGCTGTTGCAGATATATGTGCCTCGCACACGGCACACCGACGATCGCCTGTAGATCGCGCAACTGAGTCTACATGAGTTGTTGTTGTGTGCACTGATTGTTTTATTCGCATTGTTCGCTTGATTGGATGCATTGTTTTTTTTTCTGCCCGCAACTCGCATTTTTCAACTCGCACATCCCCCAGTGTATGCAGCCCAATGCAGGGTGCGAAATTAACGCGAGTCCGGAGTCTAATATACTCCCTGATTTGACATATGCAGGAGTTCGTGTGACTCCCTGAAAATTCTGCTATACTAACTAGTTCGTTTCAGCTAGCTAGAGCACGGCCTCGCGGAATTACCGTATTTTTTCAGCAAGTGTTCCAAGAAAATTTTGCAGTTTCCGTATTTTTTCAGCAAGTGTTCCAAGACAAATTGTCACGTTCAGTGATGTGTCTGGTGTTTGTGTTCTCTGCCACCAGGTGTCAGTACATTACGACCACGAGAATATATGCTACACCATGTAGTCACGTTAATTGCATATATGCATGTCTTCCTGCTTATGTTGTACCCAGCACAGTAAATAGAGAACGTTACAACGTGCACCGCAAATGTCCTACAATGTCCAAACGTGTTACGTAAACTGTAATCAACAGCGGGTGTCACAGATAGTGCGTATGATGTACGTGCGTTATGGCCAGCAGCGGTGTTGATTGATGTACAAACCCAATTGTTTCATGTCTGCTATGTATGTGGCGCGAACTGATGTCGTGTGTGGAGCATGTTTATGACTGTGTAGGGGGTGACGGGCGCCTGGGAGGGGAGCTCTACATATAAGTCGACAAAATGACAACTTACACGTATGTCGTCATTTTCGCAAGTCGGCACAAATATGCTGGTCCAAAAAGTGTCGACTCATGCGAGTTTTACTGTACTAGTACTACTGATTCTCGTTGCAGTACGTATTACTACACTAGTAGTAGTACATAAATCAGCACGTCAAATCGATACGTAAAATACGTAATGGAATCAGCACGTAAAGTGGGCATCGTAGGATATGGTCACATTGGTAAATATGTAATTAGTACTGTTTACAACTACTATCCCAAACGATTTAATGATACAACTCTAAGTGACTCAGACTATATATAACCGTCTAACGTAGCTTAAGCAGAGCTGCACACCTATCTCAGACACAGGCCCTTTGGCTGTTCCCTCATAACCTCATAAAGATTGGTCTTCAAAGGCCAACGAACGATTTCGATGACGGAGACAGATAAAGCTGATCGAATAGACAGATCAACAATGCGGTTCGCAGTAGAAAAAGTTTCAATATTGCAATTAACCAAATTGGAAAGGTTTCAGTAAGAACAAAATAATTGTAAATAAAAACATGTGTTTAGTGCCTAATTAAGTACTTTAGCCTACACTGTTTTTACATGTGCTCTATCCACTAATAATTCCACGTAAATGTCATTCAAATACTCTGCAACACTGCACGCATGCCACTGGCACCGTGCAAAATCTCACAGAAGAAAGCCTTTTTTTTCATTATAATTATTTTTCTTTTACAGGAAAATACCTTGTGGACTGCATTTTAGATCATCCTAACCTTGAGCTGGCATTTGTCTGGAATCGGACACCAAGTGTGATGCAAGGAAAGGTTGAGGAGGGTTACATTTTAACTGACCTAGCTGAATTTGTCCACATGTGAGTGCAAATTGTTTACATAATTATATTGAGTGTGTATAGTAAGTGGTTGAAGGCACTAGCAGAAGCACAGAAGTACATATATTTTGATTAATCTAGTGGCTTCGTTCTAAAAAGGTTTTCTCTCATTGTCGATCTCAAAGTGTATACCTGTATGTGTATGTGCTGCATTGCAGAGAGGTAGACCTGATTGTTGAGGTGGCCCATCCAAGCATATCTATGCAGTATGGACCCCTGTTTCTACAGCATGCAGACTACATGGTAGGATTGACAATCTCAATTACTAGCCTTCATTGAGGTGTTGGTGTTGCAGGTATAGAGGCACATGTTGGAACCAGTGTAGCCAGGGTCTCTATGTGTGAGCAGGGCCCAACTAAAATTCTATGCAATGCTGTGCACCAATCTGTGATTGTTCATTGTTACCACAGACTCTAAATGCGTTATTATGTATAATAACCTAATATTAAACCTTGCCCCACAGTGGTATAGAATTAGTTTCTCCTAAAAGCAAATCTGGTACATTTTCTGCAATATTAAAAAGGTGTTTGAAAATAGATTTGTCACTGGGCCTTGCACACACACAGACAGACCCTGCATGCTATGTAGGTTACCTATATTGATACTATGCAAGTTGTGTGTTTCAAGATTTTATAGAACAAGGATTTTATCATTTACCTATATAGATACCTCTTACTCAATCAATGACTGAAAAAACGTACAGAAACGATAATGCATGGAATTTAATTGTTTATTGGTTTTCTGCACAGATGGGATCACCCACAGCTCTTGCTGACAGAAAGCTGGAAACTACGTTAAGAAAACTTAGTGCTGAGTACAGCCATGCTGTCTACATTCCTAGTGGAGCTTTCTGGGGTGGAGAAGATATTCGCAAAATGGCTGATATGGGAACATTATTGGTGTGTATTTAGAGTATTTTGAATAATTAACTGTGTAAAAGATGTGTTAGTCGGTGCCTTTGCCATGACTATAATGAAGTATTTCAACAGGGTTTGAACATATCAATGACAAAGCATCCATCTAGCTTCAAGCTGTTGTCTCCTCTAATGGAAAAGAATGAGAATGTAGTGCAAAGAACTGTTTTGTATGAGGGTACGTCATTACATTTATAATTACAACGCATCAATCACAGTTCCAATATTAAGAGAATTTTGCTTGCGTATTAAGACTAGGGCTAATTTTTTTTAGGAATTTGTCAACACAAGTGGCCGAGTTATTGGCAATTTTTTATCGTTTACAGGTCCAGTGAGGGAGCTTTGTCGTTTAGCGCCAAACAACGTTAACACAATGGCAGCTGGAGCAGTAGCAGCTCATAATTTGGGCTTCGATGGCGTTCAAGGATCAATAATATCTGACCCAAAGTGTGTTCACGTAAACATATTGCTTTTTTCTTTGTTATCTTTGTTCCCATTGTTGTTCATGTTTACCCTGAATTCAGGGTTCGTAGCGGGTCTTCCAAAGTCTTATAAGTACTTATTTTGCCAAAAATAAAATAAGGGCCCTTATTAGTACTTATTTTTGGTGAAATCTTAGAAAAGTACTTAAGTCCTTATTTTTTCTCGACTTAGAGTAAGAATTGTTGTATATATAATACGGAATAATTAAATCTGCTGTGCAATTGTGTATATAAATATTGTTAGTGTACTTTAATAGTCGGTGATCTATCAGAAATCGTGTAAAAGTCTTATTTTGGCCTCCAGAAAGGGTCTTATACGTCCTTATTTCAACATGTGTCTTACTACTATGAACCCTGGAATTACCCTAACCTAATCTACAATACCCTTATTATATCCTATTCAGCTGGGAATTACCAGTTCAGAATCAGCTAGTTATTTACCTTGTCACTGAAATTATTATAAAATGTCAAAAATTTCCAGCAAACGAGTTTCAAACCCAATCGCATTTTGGGAGGGATGACAGACGTTTGCAGTATTTCATATCAAATGAAGTGTTCTAGCTTGAAAACCATTCAAATTTAGATCGACACACCTGGGCCCTCAATAAAATAACTAACACCATGTTTAATGAGCAAACATTTGACTTAAGAGCCTACAACGATTTCATCTCGTTTTATTAACCCCTTTTTTTCATATTATTATATTATTTTATTTTAGCTTGCCAGACTGGCATGTTGTAGAGGTCCAGGTCACAGGGCCAACCAACCCAAAAACTGACCAAACGTTTACAGTCAAGACTGTACGTCAGAATCCATCACAAGCTGGTAGTGTGACTGGCAGTGCTACATTCAAGTCATTCTTCAGCAGTATACTAGGTAGGTTACAGTAGAACACCATGGTTCCATACCCACAGTTAACACATAATTTAACCATCTTATCTATCCAAGCATGTTGGTTGATTTTGTATTTCTTACTGTCTGTGAAGTGACTTTTGTGATTACTTGGAACTGTTTTTGAATGTCAAGTAGACACCCTGCCAGATGTGATAGTACAGTTGAGAAGTTCACACATAAATCATTTTACATTTTATTTAACAATAGGTGCCACTGGAAAAGATTCAGGATTTCACCTCTGCTAAGTGAATCATGCTCAACATGTTGTATGCATTAAAAAGTACATATTTAACAATTAATTCATGGGTAATACTGCCAACTTTATTCTTATTATCATATGAAATAATCATAGCTGTACTTAGATCGGCTTGTGATGAAATTATAAACATTAAAATCAGAGGTGCTAGTTGTGATGTGTAAGGGGCCTATTGTGCAGGAATGTATATTTTATATAATAATGTTGTGCTAACAATGTATTTTTTAATATATTTTATTATTTTTAACAAAAGTTATTGCTATCAAAAACAAGAAAAGAGATGTTCTTATAAAAACCCTGTGTTTATTATTTTTGTTTTTATTACAACAACAACAAGATGGTATTTTATTACAGTTGTGGTGAAAATTAATTTTAATGAAGTCTACATTTATTTGATGGTCTCACCCACCCTCAACACAATTTCATGTCCCCAGGTACACTCAACAGTGCCAACCCTAACACCAATTAAAAAAGGTTTCCTGCTACCATTCAATTGTTCATACTCATATGGTATAAAAGATGAAAAATGATGCTCAAGTCAATTAGGTGACAGCAAATGGAAATTAGTAAAATCTGCATAGAGAAAAAATCGCTACACAACCTAATAGTACCAGTAAATCTGCTCGTTGAATATTTTCGGATCGATTAACCTTCATGACATTTTCTATTGAGCAGGCTATTTGAAACTAATTCACAGTAGTTAAATTTAAACGAGCATAAATTCATAATAAGTATTATACATATTTGTTTATGATTCTTATTAAAGCTGTGCATGTCATTACTGGGAAAGCGAGTGAAGTTGAATAAATGTGGCAATTACATGGGGGAACAATTTGCTTAAGTAACTGCTGCACGTGATGGTTGAAAATTTTGCTATTTTAAGAACACCGATTGCTATTTTAAGAACACCCATTGCTATTTTAAGAGCACCAGGAAATCAGTTTGATTTCTTTCCCTGCCTCATAATTGCCTCGTACTTAGACTTGCTCCTGTACCAGAGCATGAATGGAATGCATAGTGAGGGTACTGTCATCATACCGAACGCACCCCAGTCGAGAAGGTGTGGTGAGAACTTTCTGTCATATTCTCTGCAAATAAAATTAAGATAACGGTTTAAAAATCACATTACATAAGCAGCTAAACAGTCAACATGAAAACAACCTGCATGCTTACCTATATTCTAAATTTAAATGCATTGCTCCACCAATTGCTACCGATACAAAGTATAATGTCATGGGTTAAGTAAACCCTTTCTATCTATGGAGCGTGAACATTTTGTGCCATTTATAAATGTATCTTAGCAGAGAGGGGCTTTAAAGCTACGATTGTTTTATCATTGTCTAGTATCAATTGTAACATAATGTGCAATGAGATGGAATGATTTGGGATAAACAACCTGTATTTCATGATTCCTCCCTCTCCAGGGGCACTTGTGTAAGCAAAGACTGGCTCAGATGCATCTTCTGTCGGGTAGTATGTTACAAATGCAGATGTCATGTTGAAGAAGCCAAAGATCTTCGGACGAAGGATAACCGTGTGAGACACATTAGTTCCAGGTGCAATACGGTCCCACTTGGCCTGCAAGATAAGACAATTGGTAATGGTTATCCCCCAACATATTTGCAACCCTAGAGCTCTAATTGTTCTGACAGAATATTCTTTTCTCAATGCATGTTTATTGACAAAGGTATGATAGACTACCACAAAAACAGCTTGCGAACTACGTTTCACAACAAGAGCATATGCCATCGCGATCATTACATAATCATCAGGGTTCAAGGACAGAGATGATGTCCAGGTTGAGACCTATGTCATTTTCGTCAATGTGGGGGTAGCCCTTTTAAAATCGATATTTATATATATCTATATATATAGCTCAGTCGCTATATAAGCAGTGTATATAGCGTAGTGGCGCCATCTATCGGCGGGAAAAATCGTCTTTTATTACTGGACATCATCACTATCCTTGAGCCATCATCAGTCATTAGTTTCCTTCACTCATGAAAGGCTAAAATCAGTCTATGATTTTGGGCTGGTGTTACCTTTACGGTACCTAACTGTAAACTCCTGTATACCAGCCATTTGACCCTGTTCTAAGGAACCTACTTTACACACCTTTAGCAAACCGCGGACGACATCAAAGTCCTGGGAAGGAAACGTTTGGTCATCAAGTAGAATGTTCACGGCAACACTCTCTCCTACGTTGTAAATGCTGTACTCCACTATCAATTCCTTGTCTTCGACAACAAACTGATTGTGAAGCTGCTTAGATGCTAAGAGCCAAGCAGGGCCCTGTCCCTCATCAGCATGTACAAGGCACGTTGCCAAAACAGCAGCAATCACCAGTAATTTCTGCATCTTTGTACCTGCAAGGAATTAAGACAGAAACTTGAACTTTCTTATGCAGTGTTATGGACGATTGTGATAGTGATACTATTACTTGTTTTATGTATATTGCACAAGCAAACACTTAGTGATCCTGCATTAAATATGCATCACTTCAGAATTGACAGTGACTATATAAGTTGGGCTAGTACTAGTAGTAATGTCAGTCTTACATCCACAAGTTTGTGATTCAATGCAAGGAAACGTGGATCTTTGGGGATATATACCAATCAAGAACTAGTAATCTGCCTTTTTAGAAGTGACCTACTCACAGAATGAACACCAATTGAATAATCTATAAAAAAAAATAATGTTCAGCAAAAACTGATATATAAGTCTAAACCATGCATGTGGTTCACACTAGCTGTGTAGACATGAAATATCAATGATTATCATTGATATAGCTGCCAACAGTGCCATGCTCTGCTGCAGTCTGCAACCTATGAAGTTTTTTAATGAGATCAGATTTTCTACACCTGGTGTTTAAAATTGTATTTATGAGGTAAAATATATACTTATGTTGTCTGTGTAGTATTAATATTATACGTATGTATGCGCGCGTGTGTGCACTTACTACTGGTACAATACTACAATGTAATAACAATTATTGCAAAATTACAAACATAATGATGCACTGCGTCGAGTAGATACAATAATGTAACCCAACCAGAGAGACCGGATACAAGATGGCCTTGCGCAAAAGATGCGTTGTTCCCCGACCGCCGAAAGCGGTTAAGCCGCGCACTTCCGCGGGACTGGGCGCACGCGACCGCGGGATACCCCGCTATACGCATTCGACCTGTGACGTACAGATTCCCAATGCGCATAGCGTTCAGCTAACTTCGTCATGACGTCATGACTGACAGCAGGCATCCCAGGGTTCTCCCTACGTTGCGCAAACGGGGCGCGCGCGCCCCGTT